CACACACACACACACACACACACACACACACACACACACACACACACCACAAATTAGAGAAAAAGGTGAAGCTTTGCCAAACATTTAGCAGAATTACAAGTTTTTTTCTTTTTATGGGGACCGACCCGGTGTAATGTTAATACATAATTACATACACACACATATGTAGATATGTATGTATGTACATAAATTTTGTTAGATGTTTACACAAATGCTGACGTTTGGCTTCTTTACGTATTTCAACTGCGTGCGCATAGAAACAAGTCGGTGTTTTTTAATCGCCGACCAAAAGCTTTTAAATTGAAAGATTAAAACTAGAAACACACATATATATATATGTACTTACATATGGCATTTCTATAGGCCGTTTTTTGCAGTTATTTGTTAACTAATAGAAAAATAACTGTTTTTAACTATTGGTTAATTAAAGGAAGTACATGCATTGATTAACTACCAGTCAACTATTAGCAAAATTGATACACTGGAATGAAAAGTTGGTCGGTTTACAAAAATGCATCAGTTTACTAATGACTGTGAAAATGGCTCTATCAGGCAGCTTCTGCAATTCACTTCCGAGTGCATTTCAACCACCTATCAATTTTAATCCTACGCGGATCTGGTTGAAATTCACTCGGAAGTGAATTGCAGAACATGCCTGTACATACATACATACACATATGTATGTAGCTACTAAATATAAACAAGTGATTGCTTGGGGTGCTGCATATACTCAGTTAAAACTTTTTTGGACTAGTACCAAAGTAGAGCGACGAAGGAGTAATCAAAGCACTTTTTTTTTAATTATTCTAAAAATTTTATTGATTCCTAGCTTATTGATACGTTATTATCTAAATTCCTTCTGAACTAAGGAATATAATAAGAGAGGAGGTAGAAGGTCAAAATAAAACTCCCTTGCTCCTCCGCTGGGAGCTTGACCGCAAAGATAGCATTCTAAGTTGAATGAACACAAAACGAAGTATCTCCTGTCATCAAATAATCAGTCAGATGTGGAACGATGAGCTATGTAGCTGTATGGACTTTACAATGACATGGAGATAGTGCAGCGATTTAAAATACCGCGGCTTCGCTGGCTTCAGCATGCCGTTCGAACGAACACAGACGTGGCTTCAATGAACTCGTCCATATCGCTTAGGCAGTTACAGCATTAAACAATAAGAATTAGAACAGGATGGTACGTTAGGGTGGTAGGAACTGAGATCTGGTGAGTAAGTACCAGATCAGGGTACTTGAGGATGCAATAACGACAAAATTCAAAAAATAAAAATCCTTACTACTGTTAAGTGGCTCTCGAATTCTTCTTGAATCCACGTCTAACCTTTAGTACTTACTTTAGAAATCCTTATTGCTTACTTACATTAGTAAGGGGGTTGAAAATCACAATTAGACAACGATTAGAGCCAAGAGCCACTTAACTGTAGTACCAGTTTTTATTTTTCGAATTTTGAATTGTGTCGTTATTGCAGAGGACCATCGATATGTACAAGTACCTATTGACATTATGGAAAAAGGCTCAACTTTAAATTTGTTTGGAAATATATTGGTGTGATCTCAGATGCTCTCCACCAACCGAAGCTGAGATCCAGCTCTATAAGCATTTCCTATTTCCTGCTTCACCTGTGAAATTTTGAATTTATCAAATAAAGGATTTTGCGTTGATGATGACGATATGTGCTCAGCACATTTTCAATGTATTTTCAGTTGAGATGGAACGTTTTTGAACCGAATTCTGAGATAGGGTGTTTTTCAATCAAACGCCCTACACGTTCTTAATATTTTTCGAACTAGCTGCCGAGATAGGTCGACATTCCACTCAGGTGTCGATATATAATTTCTAAAAGCCATTAAACAAATTAGGGGATCAACTTCAAATTAACTGATTGTGCTTCAACAAAACGTCAATACAACTATGGAAAGCTTACAATCGATGAAGGAATCAATCATTTTCAAAAATCTGCACAAATTTACTTGTCTGCACTGACCCTGTACGCATTTTACGTGTATGCTACACCTTCCTGAGATTTTCGGAAACAGTTGTAAAATAAGTAGTGAAAAATCAATTGCGAACTCGGTGTACGGCATCGTGCCTTGTCATTTCGCTTAGATAAGATGTAGTCACAGAAACGCAAACAATTGCTTTAAAAAAACAACTGTTGACTACGCAAATGTGAATTTCAATTTGAGTTGGATTTAATAATAAAAAAAAAACAGTGCGCCTAATAAAATAGAGAACTCCTCTGTGTGGCGTGAAAAATAAACTCGCCCAAAAAACAAATGCCCAGATATTTCTTTCAGCTATTTAAAACGCAATTTTGGTGCATGCATAAACACACATAAACATGTGTGAATGGGGAAGCTCATATCAAAATGTATTAAAATTTTTCAGACAAGTTGATTGATTAGTTCGTGCGTTAAATCCTTTTACGGAATTGTACATGCATTAGTATGTTTAAATTTGTAATGCATATGTATACAAGCATTTAAATTAATATTTAGGTACAAAAACATCTAACACACATATGTACATAAATACGCGTCAAAAATTTTGAGTCAATTAAACGAATAAACAAATACCTTTGCACATGACTGTGCATGTATGTTTGTACCTATACGTTTGTACTTACATATCTGCATGCAATAAAAACTTGGCACAGGCGTAAATTTGTTTATATTAATTAGCACCTCGTGATATCGAGACTTTTCCAACTTGGAAAGCATTCTTTAAATGTATGTGTGTGCATGTACGCAAGTGTATTACAACTTATCTTGGTACTATTCCTGTATGAAAACTAATTAGCACCAACCAAATTTTATTTAAAATTTATTATAAATATTCAATTAAAACATTTTTATAATTTAAAATTAATTTCTCCCAGAAAAGTCTTTGGCGTTGGTTTGTTTCATTTACCTATATGACACCCTCTTCTTCTCGGCTTCATCTTCTGAGCTTAATCTAAAACTGCAGCTTATGCATTGCTGGGAGAAGTTATTGTGTATTATTTAATTGAACATTTTCACGGTTACGGACGCGACAAATTTCAAACACAAATAAAATTTTAAATTCGATTTGTCGGGGGGCGAATGGTTTTATTTTTTTAAACAAGTATTTTGCGCTCTTGGTTTACCCATTTTGGGATATGCCCATATGTTATTCTGCAGCGATCTGGTAGTGCGATATATAGAATATAACATTTTTGCAAAAAAACATACATACATACCTACTATATATGTACATATGTATGTATGCACGAATAGATATATGTATGTAGGAAAATGTGCCTATAGTTTTCTTAATTTTCAAGCGCAAATGTATTCATGGTCGTTCATTTTAGTACCTACACTCAGAGACAAAAATGTGAATACACTGGCATTTTTTTATTTATATTTTCCATGCATACCAAATTTTTTGTTATTTTTTTATAAAAATATGGTTCACGCAACAGCAAAAACCAGCAGAATCATTTTTTTTTTCAGTTTCATACAGAACTCGTTCATCAAAATTTTCAACTTTTCAATTCCATTTCTTAAAAAAATTTTGGGTATGCAGAGTTTTGTAGATTTTTTTTTTGTCGAAGGTGTTGCGCATTTTCTTTTATATAAAAATAGATTTTGTTCATGCATTATATGGAAGAAAATGCGAAACATCCTTGACAAGAATATTCTCCAAATTCAACGGTATTTTTTAGAGACTTGAGGCTACAAAACAGCAAAATTTGTCTAAGAAATGGAATTAAAAAGTGGAAAATTTGTATGAAATGCTTTTAGTATTTCCTGAATTTTCCTGAGTTCTATATGAAATTTAAAAAATTTATTATGATGATTTTTTCTGTTGAATGAATATTATTATAAAAAAAAAATTGGTATGGAAAATATTAATAAAGAAAATCGTCAAAACGTCGGGGTATCCATATTTTTGAGGCTGACTGTTTATACATTTAAATGCTATACATGTAGTATGTAATTTGCATAATACAATTTGTTTTTGTTGTTTTTGCTTTTTCAGTACCTTGACATTGGCGAAGATTTAAATGTACCTGATGATTTCACGCAAAGTGAAATGCAGACCGGCATGTGGTGGCGTCACCTGGCTGCAGGCGGTGTCGCGGGTGCAGTGTCGCGTACATGCACAGCTCCATTAGATAGGATAAAAGTGTTCTTGCAGGTAAATATATATACACATAAGTTTTTATTCTTCCGCTGCTTTTTCCACTTTCTGTTTTTTAAATATGTATGTATTTTCGAATGTTGATAAACTAATAGTTTTGAAAATATCCTGAAATTGACACAAACAGGTTCAAACACATAAAACCGGAATCTCTGATAGTTTAAGATATATGCTGAATGAGGGCGGCATCCGTAGTATGTGGCGCGGCAATGGCATTAACGTTTTGAAAATTGCGCCCGAGTCGGCAATCAAGTTTGCGGCATATGAAAAGATTAAGCGGCTCATAAGGGGCGACGAGAAGCGACAGATGACGATTGGCGAACGCTTCATGGCGGGTGCAGCGGCGGGTGGTATTTCACAAACTATCATCTATCCAATGGAAGTATTAAAAACCCGGCTGGCATTGCGCAAGACCGGTCAGTATACCGGCATTTTGGATGCTGCGAAGAAGATCTATTTACTGGAGGGTGTACGAAGTTTTTATCGTGGTTACATTCCGAATATGTTGGGCATTATTCCTTACGCCGGCATTGATCTGGCAGTGTATGAAACCTTGAAGAAAAAGTATTTGAGCAGTCATAATACGGAGCAGCCAAGCTTTCTCGTTCTTTTGGCTTGCGGCAGTGCATCTAGCACCTTGGGACAGGTGTGCTCCTATCCATTGGCTTTGGTACGGACACGGCTTCAAGCGCAAGGTATACCAATTATCAGCAAAATTTTTCGCTTAAGCGCTTGAAAATTTTAAGTTTAATTTTTGACTTTTTCAGTTGTGACCAAAAATAAGCAACCATCAGTGGGCATACCACTAAGACAAGCGGGTGCAATCAACGACGACAACATGTTTGGTGTCTTTCGCAAAATCATACATAATGAGGGCATATTTGGTTTGTATCGAGGCATTACACCAAACTTTATCAAAGTGCTTCCGGCAGTTTCCATTAGCTATGTGGTGTATGAGTACTCAAGCCGTGCATTGGGTGTGAATATGACGTGATCGCTCTACCTTAGGATCAATATGTTAACATTTTAGTGGTCTTATTATATGCCGTCGGCTCAGAAGCCCATTGTGAATTGCTCTAGCACTTTATTGTACTGTTGTACTTTTACTCCCAGTAACTCTGCCTATATTTAAATGCTACAATTGTGTGTAATTCATTTTCTTCGATTTAGTAATATTGTAGTGATAATTTAGCAAAGATGCTCCGCGTGATACTAATTGCTAATTACATAATAAACAAATTGAAAAATGAATAGCTGATGGAAAATATAAACAAAAAAGAAGGATGAGAGTCGTTGACTTAAATATATAATTTAGTTTATATAAACTTATTATAATATGTATGTATATTAGCAGATCATAGATTATATACATATGTAATGCTAAATATTTATTTCTATACTATTTTTTACGAAAACGAAAACATGCTAATGGAACACAATGTTGAACGGATGTGTGTGTACATCGTAGATTTTAATTTATTTATTTAGTTAAATTGCAATTGGCACATTTAAGTGAAAATGTTTAGGTATATTTGTATGCAGTATGTATGTTAATATAAACAACTTTTTAAATAAAAATATCGAAAAGAAAATGCAGCTCTTCTTCGTAAGGCAATTCA